CATAGTTACTATTTAAAATGTCAAATGGTATCCTTACGTCCATGAGATCTAAACTTGTGCCGGCCTGACAGTAGCCATATTGCTCGTGTCCTTTGTTCACTGGACGTCCATTACAGGGGTCCCACTGCTTTCGGTACAGGAGGTTCTGAGTTAGTGAATGGCAGATGCCAAAACCCCACTGACTTTCTCCTCTTTTCTGAATGTAGCGATGCGCACACGTCTGAAATAATTTAACTTTATGAAAAAGTAAACTTACTTAAAACACTTATGAAGAAATATTTATCATGACAACTCAGTGATTTCACATGATTTGTTATAAAATCAATTGGTGACTAATAACAAATTGAAAAATCAAACCTTTTACAGGTTTTTATATTATTTTACTTAATCCATCACCTAATCGGTCTGTACTTCGAAAATCTGTATCACTAGAATAATACAAATGTATAGGAATAACTAAAGAGCTTTAATTTTGAGTTCTGTTAAACTATTAATAGATTAATTCAAATACTAATTTCCATTATATAACTTCAATTTCAAGTCCAATTTCTGACCACTCTTAACCTAAGGTATTGATTCAGAGTTTGATTTCAGGTCCAATGTCTACCACTCTTAACTTGCTTGTGAAGACCTATTTCACCAGAGTTTAATTTTAAGTCCTATATCTGACCACTCTTCACTTGCTTGTAAACACCTACTGTTCCAGATCTTTGATTCCAAATTACATTAAAGTAGAGACAATAGATAAAGAGAAGTGTAGACTGTGAGAAATGGCAACAGGATTTCAAGAGAAGCTTAAGTTTTTACATGAAAGGAATACATCAGTTAACAATGACTTTCAGGAAGTTAGAAAGAGTACTGTTAGGGCTAAAAGTAATGAATTTTATTATAATGAGCCTATTCTGTTGAGCAACCGATTTCAGTCCTTGGCTTATGCAGATGGGGAACTATTGAAGGGTAGGAAAACAAAAGGGTCATAGAAGGATGTGGTTGATAAGGAGGTTACAGGTGATTCCTTGATAAGGCATGTGAATAGAATAGTCTGAGGGGTAAATAGGGAGAAAAGTATCAGATTATGTTACCCAGGTACAGGATATAACTGACAGAGCAGGGGATATAATAAAGGGGGCTAGAATTGATGCAATTTTGTTATGCACATAGGGGCTAATGATGTAAGGAAAAGCGGGTCAGAGAAGCTAATTAATAAGTACAAGGGGGTTGATAAAGGCATTTAAAAAAAAGCGATAATTATATGACCATATAATCATGATCATTGTTTATCTATTATATTTTTAAAGGTACAATAACATCTTATAAAATGTAAGAAATATTCTACTAGAATTACTCCAACATGATTAGGACCAAATCAGTTTGTGTTCGAGATATAAAGATGGTAGAGCGTAATTAGTTTTACGTAACATACAGAAATATTATACTAGAATTACTCCAACATGATTAGGACCAAATCAGTTTGTGTTCGAGATATAATGATGGTAGAGCGTAATTAGTTTTACGTAACATACAGAAATATTCTACTAGAATTACCCCAACATGATTAGGACCAAATCAGTTTGTGTTCGAGATATAATGATGGTAGAGTGTAATTAGTTTTACGTAACATACAGAAATATTCTACTAGAATTACCCCAACATGATTAGGACCAAATCAGTTTGTGTTGGAGATATAATGATGGTAGAGTGTAATTAGTTTTACGTAACATACAAACAACTTTATTTACATCAACACAATATCTAGGGTTTCAGTAACGTTGAATATGAACTGTTAATACGTGAACTACACTTGTTGGTCATTTCATAGTATTTTACCTAACTTATTCTACATGATTATGATTCTAAATGGTAGGCTGTACGTAATGACTGTACAGCTGTACTTTAGAATATTAGTTCATACCATTACAGACCCTCCTTTCCCCCGACTTCTTAGAGAAACACCTAACCACTGGTCCTCCTTAATGGATGCTAAGATGAAAAAATAAAAAAGTACAATAAGTTATATTATTTAATCTTTCTTCAGTTAAGAAAACAGAAAAAATCATAATAAACGTTCACTTGAATATGTTGTTTCCTCACAGCTGTACTAAATATCTACTTATGTTGTTTCCTCAAAGCTGTACTAAATATCTACTTATGTTGTTTCCTCAAAGCTGTACTAAATATCTACTTATGTTGTTTCCTCAAAGCTGTACTAAATATCTACTTATGTTGTTTCCTCAAAGCTGT